GCTGCCCCAAGTGGGTCACAAACCCCAGCATCTGTCTCACCGTGGGCCCTTGGCCGGCTGGTTTGGGGCACCCCCCTTGTCCTGGCTGAGGTGGGTGGGACACGGCACTGGGGACAGCCCAGAGTGGCACTGGGGACAGCCCAGAGTGGCACTGGGGATAGCCCAGAGTGGCACTGGGGACAGCCCAGAGTGGCACTGGGGATAGCCCAGAGTGGCACTGGGAGCCCATCCTTCATGGGGCAGGGGGAGCTGCAGGGGTCTGGCCGTGTCCCAGCCTGTGCAGGGCTCTCCAGGCACACCAAGAGCGTGGGAGATGAACAGGAGGAAAGAATCATCTGTCCTGGTGACACTCGAACTGCCAGATCGCTGATTACCATGATAGATGGCACCYGCTCTTCCTGCTAATTAGCAATCATTCATATGCAAACTTTGCTYTTCCTCCTGAGCCAGGTTCTTATTAACATTCCCCGGGCATCCCTGTCCTGGGTGGGCAGGATGGGGACAGGTGGCAGCGAGGCCAGGCTGGTGTGACCCCGGCACTGCTGTCACAGCAGCGGTGGCACATCCTGGGGACGGGGCTGCGCAGCCTCTCTGCTGTGAATGTCCACAAGAGGAAAGGGGGAAAGTGATGGATTTCCTGCCTGAGGCTGCTGAGAGGGACTGAGGAGCAGGAGCAGGAGCTCTGCTCCTCCTTTGCTGTCCCCAAAGCACGGACCCGCCCGTGGGGTCAGCTGGACGCCGTGGCAGCTGCTTTCACCAGCACCATGCAATGAAGGTTTTATTTTAAAATCCCCCATATGCTCAGCACCTGCCATGGTCTGAGCCCGTTCTGGACAGAGCTGCTGCACCTTGGGGTGCCCTGTCTGAGCCATAATGAATTATTGACCCCCCTTTGTCACCAGAGCCACATCCTCTGGTTCAGCATGGGGCTGAGCACAGATAACTGTGCTGAGGTTTATCCTTTTTCAGCAGGGAAGGAGGAGCAGATTCCAGTGGCCACCAGTRGTACCCAGAACCAGCCCCTTCTCACATTTCTTATTCTGGAGGCCGAGTCTGTTCTGGGGGACTCAAGGGAACGTGTTGCTGCCTGCTCCTGGCTCTGCTTTCCACGCTGAGGCACACTGTCACTGTCACCAGGGCTGGTGCAGAGGGTGCAGGGCTGGTTTAGGGTGTGCAGGGCTGACTCAGGTGTGCAGGGCTGGTTTGGGGTGTGCAGGGCTGGTTT